TGAAGGGGGGTAAATCAGAGGGGGAGATGAACGATGAGAGACGATGGACTCTGAGAAACAAACTGAGGGTTCTAGAGGGTAGGGGGTTGGGGGGATTGGTTAGCCTGGTGATGGATATTAAAGAGGGCACATTCTGCATGGAGCACTGGATGTTATGCACAAACAATGAATCATGGAACACTACATCAAAAACTAATGATGTAATGTATGGTGATTAACATATTAAAAAAAAGCTTACTATTTAAAAGAAAAAATTCAACAGCATTAATGACAATGACCTAGAAGATGGTCCATCATAAGCAAAACTTAAGTAATCAAGTTACCAAGTAAAAAAGAGACTATCCAAGCACATTTTCATACCATTAAGCTCTACTTTAGCAATTAATTAAAATACTATTTTTCATAAAAAAAAGAGGGAATCTTAAAAGCATCAAGAAAACAAAACAAAGAAAAGCATCAAGAAAACAAAGACACATTGCATGCAGAGAAACAACCAAACGGATCAGCAGACTTTTTGTCAGAAGTTACGCAAATCGGGCGCCTGGGTGGCTCAGTTGGTTAAGTGACTGCCTTTGGCTCAGGTCATGATCCTGGAGTCCCGGGATCGAGTCCCGCATCGGGCTCCCTGCTCGGCGGGGAGTCTGCTTCTCCCTCTGATCCTCCCCCTCTCATGCTCTCTGTCTCTCACTCTCTCTCTCTCAAATAAATAAATAAAATCTTAAAAAAAAAAAAAAAGAAGTTACGCAAATCAACGACAATAGGCTTATCTGTCTAAAATGCTGTCCAAAAAATTTTTAAATTCTATATTCAGCAAAATATCTTTCATAAATGAGGGTAAGCCCAAAGATACAAGTGTAGTGATCCAAAGGAGCACATGCATCCCAATGTTTATAGCAGCAATGTCCACAATAGCCAAACTGTGGAAAGAGCCAAGATGTCCATCGACAGATGAATGGATAAAGAAGAAGTGGTATATATATACAATGGAATATTATGCAGCCATAAAAAAAAATGAAATCTTGCCATTTGCAATGACGTGGATGGAACTAGAGGGTATTATGCTAAGCGAAATAAGTCAATCAGAGAAAGACAAGTATCATATGATCTCACTGATATGAGGAATTTGAGAAACAAGACAGAGGATCCTAGGGGAGGGGAGGTAAAAATGAAACAAGATGAAACCAGAGAGGGAGACAAACCATAAGAGATCAACTGAAGGTTGCTGGAGTGGAGGGGGGTGGGAGGGATGGGGAGGGTGATGGACATTGGGGAGGGTAAGTACTAAGGTGAGCGCCGTGAATTTTGTAAGACTGATGAATCATAGACCTGTATCTCTGAAACAAATAATACATTATATGTTAATAAAAAAATTAAAAATAAAAAAAAATAAAAGTCCTTCCCCACGCTGGCTTAAAAAAAAAAATGAGGGTAAGGAGAAATTGACAAACTGATTATATTATTTATAGGGAAATTCAAGTGATCTAGAATTTGCAAGTGATTTTTTTTTTTACAAATAATAAAGTTGGAGAATTTACACCATTTGATTTCAAGATTATAGAGTTATAGGACCAAGGCAGTATAGGAATGGCAGAGAATAGATGTACAGATAAGTGGAACAGAAATGACAATCCAGAAATAGACCAACAGTTATATAATCAACTGATTTTCAACAAAGGTGTCAAAAATTCAGTGGGGGAAAGGATTGCCTTTTTTTTTCAGTAAACTGTTCTAGAATAACTGGATATATGTACACACACAAAAATGTATCTCAGCCTTCTCATTACACCATCCACAAAAAATAATTCAAAATAACTCCTATATCTAAACATAGGAGCTAAAACTATAAATCTTTTAAAAGAAAATATAGGAGAAAATCTTTATAACCTTGAATTCGGCAAGGATTTCTTAGACAAGACATAATCATAAGCCATAAAAGAAAATTTTGTTAATTGGACTTCACCAAAACCAAAACTATTACTTGTCAAAAGACACTATTAAAAATGGAAAGGCAAGCCACAGAATGCGAGAAAGTATTTGCAAAACATACATGTGAATAAAGGTGGGTCCATACACATAGCCACAAAGTATACAAAGAACTTGCATAACATAATAATAAGAAGAGCAACATTTCAATTAAGAGCTGAGCAAAAGAATAAAGATTTGGGTACTTCATAAAAGAAGACACTTTGTGGCTAATAGGCTCATGGAAAAATACTCAACATCATCAATCATTAGGAAAATGCAAACTAAAATCACCACAAAATACCACCATACATCCATTAAAATGGCTTACATTGCGAAGGCTGACAATGCAATTGTGGACAAGGACGTAGAGAAAACCGAACTCTCATATATCTCTGGTAAGAATGGAAAACACTGCGACCACTTTGTGCAACAGTTTGGCAGTTTCTTAAAAAGTCAAACTAATACACTTACCATAGGATCCACTGTGTCTGAGGAAACACTAGTAATGTATAGTGGTGTTTAAAACAAACAAACAAACAAACAAAAAACATGTCGACGTGGATTGTATGAAAATTTGGGCACAGAGAATGAAACAGGGAAATGGAAAATTCATGTATGTGAATTAGCATAATATTAGTTGAAGGAGAAGGTGATAATTTAAAAATTACTGCTGTTAATTAAGGACCCGAGGGAAGAGGAAAGTATCCAGAAGTCTTTTTTTTCTGGCTCCGAAAATGGTTTCGTCTCTCGGATGAGATGGCTTTTCCTCGGTTGCTGCCTCAGCCTCCTTCCTACACTGCTGGCACCGGGGCAGCAAGCCGGGCTGTGCGGGAGCTAGCGTTGTCTTCCTCTCTCCCCGCCGGCTAGGCTGGACGGCACGGGCTGTTTGCCCCCCCCCCCCCCCCCCAGGGCAGGGCAGGGGCAGGTCTCAGGTTCTCCAGCCTCTTGCTCCGGTTCTGAGGAGAGATGCCTTTTCTCCTGCGCCCTTGTCCCTCAGTGCATGTCAGGGGTCGCAGAGAGCTGGACTGAGGGTTACGACGGGAAAGCCTGGCCGGGAGACACGCGGATACTAAGAGAGCTCTTGCCTGCACTGCCGCCCATTGCGAGAGGGGCTTGGCTTTGGAAGAGCACACGCCTGGGACAGGGGCCTCCACCAAGCAAACAGATCCGTCGACCTATATGGAGGGTTCTAGTTCCTGGCAGGAAGGCGCCTGGCTCAAGCTTGCTTTCTACCGCTCGCCAGAGGGGAGCGGGGTTGGTGGCTCGGCTGGATGGGGTCGAGGTCCTGGGTTCGGCTCAGCTGTGCGGAACCGGCTCTGGCCCCACAGGCCTTGACCAGATCCGACTGGCGTGGGCCCGTTCTGAGGCACAGACTGCAGGTGTGCAAGCAGAGAGGCTCTCGGGAGCCGCCGGGGGCGGAAGGCCGGGCTGCAGGCGCCCACACGCACCCGCAGAGGAGCAAGGGCTTGGTGACCGTTTCCAGCCGGTATCAGAAATTAAGGGGTTGTGGTGAGGGAACCCTCTGAATGGGAGCCTGCTTGACAGTACCCGGCACTGCTGCTGGCTCCTGACCCAGGCCACTGTTCTCAGTCTCCCCTTGCTGCACAACTGAGGATGGCTCCCTCCAGACACCACCTGGGCTCCTGGGCTCACACAAACCACTGTCCCCGCCACACTGACCTGCCCAGTGCCTCCGGCGGCCAAGATACGTCTGGCATCCTAGCCCGGCGAGGGTGAGGGTGGAATCAGACAAGTCTGTGGAGCCACAGAATGAGAGGGTTTTAATAAAAATTGGTGATGGAATGTTCTGGGGAAGGTGGGTAAAGGTACAACCATGGGGATTTGTTTTTTTGCAGAAGACTCTTAAAAGTTCAGGCTATAATAATGAATAACGCATTCCTATTTAGATGGAATGAATTACCTAGCAAATCCATTACATTAAAAAAAAATGTTAACGGTGTTTAGGAGAACAGGAGGGAAACCTGAATTTCTGGCAAAATACCAGTTGGTCATTATTCCTGAACTTCACAAAACAACTGTGCATTCTACTTTATCCTTTATTTCAGTGCCCTCAAATACAATCACAAGCCACGGGCCGGGGGGGCGTAGGGGGGCTGCAATTCTAGGAGTGTCACTAATGCTCTCTCATTCTTTCATGAGTTTGGTCTTTTTCGGGATTTTCCCTTTTGTCATTTGAAGTCACTCATGAGGTGGAAATGGGTGGTGGGGTAGGTGGGAAGGTCAGACTGGTGTGGGCAAATACAAAGAAAATTCATAGAGACAGGATGATAAAACAACAACCACAACAACAACACCACAACAACCCAAGAAGCAACAACTCAACTGGGTCCCAGAGTTTATTCAAAAGAGCAGCAGTCAGAGGTGTTTCATGAATGGAAAGATACTTGGGTTAAGTGGAGGGCCAGTAGGTGGTTGAAGGGACAGGCTCACTCCCAGCAAGTAGGAGGGTCATAGAAGGAGCAGAAGCCATGCCTGGCAAAGTCAGTGAGAAAAAGACCTGGGTCATGAGAAGTCTATGATTTTGGTTCAGCTCTTGATTACTTACCACCATGTTGAGACAGAGAACAGAGAAGGGGAAATACCACTAAGGCAAAGAGTGAAATTTAGGAGTAATTGTAAACTAGGGGATATTTTAACAATGACTATGACTGAAATAGGGCTTATATGGAATAACTCTTGTTTGGTCCATAAATAAACTATTTATAAATAAACTATTATTTCCTGTTTTGCATTCCATTCTTAGCTTCTAGAAATCTTTTCAACAAATAAGTAGGGCTGTGTTCTTCCTGTTGCTTTAGTGATAGAAAGCTTCATGGTTGTCCTTTTCTCCCATCCACTGGGCTTAAAGTACCAGAACTGGATAGAGTGGAAATAGTTTCAGAAATAAACACAAAGTAAAAGAGTATGTCTTGATTTATGTTTCATAATGTGGATTTTTGTTATTGTTATTTTTTCTATCACATATTGACATTTGGAATCATAAAAACAATACGATTTTGTGTTCTCTATTTTAGAATTCCACATGAGTGGTTTATGATGTTGGTGAAATATTCTCTGCAATACCCCAAAATGTCATCTTAAAACCAACTGATGTTGATCAGTGAATTTGCTTCTTCAATGACCTCTATGGACAGAAGAGGCTGAGGCATGTGAACAAGGAGTGCTCAAGATTCTTGGGATCTGTAAGGTGCTTTGTGAACACATGAGGCTGCTCATCTGTAGCTCTAAGATGGTAGTTGACATTGGTGGTGGGAAGATTTCAACTTTTCTTCCATTTAAGAAGATTTAAATAAAGGTACGTGGAACACTGGTTAATAGTGTATACAACAAGTCTTAGAATGAGATTTTGGAAAATTCCATACCCTGCATTTTGTTTTTGAGTAAAAGTGACATAGACTAAAATCACATTTATCTGAAGGGTGTCTTGTTATCAAACAATTTAAATTTGCTGTGCAAGTCTTCATGGGATCCTGGATTACACAGGACTGGAAGGGCCTTTAAGAAATGAGCTAGGTATTATGCTGGGATTATACTGGAATTAAAATAAAAAGAAGTTAGCTGGGTAAGATAAGGGTCTGATATTCATCGAGATCTCACTTTCTGTTCCAAAAAGCCGAAGTAGCAAAAGTAATTGAGTAAAGCACACATATGGAGGAATGCCTTAGCCCTACTTTCCCTGTTTTTAGAAAAACCAAAATCATCTTTTGGATTCCAAGGTCTTAACACTTGATATAAATGAAAATACACATAAACCAACATCATATCGGTCTGCAACAGCTAAGTACTATTAAATGCATTTTAGGGAGAAAGGATAAAGATCAGAAGCTTATTTGTGTTTTTAACTGCTTTCTCAATATCTAGTCTTTCCCATGCAGGAAAATTCCAGAGCAATGTACTAAATCAAAGCAAGTAACTTGATAGCTTTTGCTAGTGGTAACTTGAAAGTTTAGAGAGTTTGACTTACGTGGTTATTGTTTGTATAAATGATGTGTTTTATGGACCGTAATGATATGTGATAAAATCTCATAAACACCAATAGAAGTACTCAGATCACCTTAGATTAGATAGTGGACTTTTAATAAAACTTCCCCACATTTGCTTGTAGACTTCCTGGTTGATTTCTTAGAATCTTGGCAGCTTCTGAGCAACAGTTTTTCCAAGACTCTGAGGCAGGAGTTACATCATTTAAGAATCCAATCAGTAATTTTATCCTTATTCTGGATACGTTTCCATTATAAACAGTTTATGCAAGTACACACACACACACACACACGCACATGTGCACATGCACACAAAGGTCCATACATAAAAGACACTTTCTCTCACTTTTCTGAGTACTATTGAGGAGCAGATAGTTTTCTAAAAAATTATTAAGGAAAAACTTTGGATTTAAGGGAAATAATTCATTAAATTTTCAGAACATTCTCGGGGCACCTGGGTGATTCAGTCAGTTAAGTGTCCAACTCTTGATATCAACTCCGATCCTGATCTCGGTTTTGTGAGTTCAAGCCCCTCATTGGGCTCCACACTGGGCATGGAGCCTACTAAATAAATAAATAAATAAATAAATAAATAAATAAATAAATAGAAATTCTCAGAATATTCTCAAGCTAGACCGTACCCTAAGGGGAAAGAATGGAGAAATTTAATACCACTAATTTTTATCTTTACTTGTTTTTTCTCTGTTCTATATAAGAAAAGCCAGTAGAATTAATGTGGTACTGGTGTTATTTTCCTATTCTAATAAGCTTACTTTAATAACATCACTTATGTTCCTCTTCTTTTATACCAAATTTCTGAGTTATTCATGTACAATGTATCTATGTTGTGATTTCTCAGTTTCTTCATGGAATGTGCTATTTTATTTCTAGATATCTCATCGTATTTAAATGCCTTCGTCTCATGGGACGCCTGAGTGGCTCAGTCGGTTAAGCGTCTGCCTTTGGCTCAGGTCATGATCCCAGGGTCCTGGGATTGAGTCCCACATCGGACTCCTCCCTCTGCCTGCCTCTGTCTCTCTCTCTCTGATAAATAAATAAAATCTTAAAAAAAAAAATGCCTTCGTCTTTCCTGGTCAAATAGTAACTTCTTTTCCCTTCAATATTCTGCAGAGGAATTAAGCAGATTCTCATAGGTTGAAATGTTTAAATGTGTCTTCAGAACACTCATGGGAGAAACAGAGTAGCTCTGTCACATTATTAACAGCAAAACACTTTAAAAAAGTAGCTGTCCAATAAAACTACTTGTGAAACCCATTAGGAATAATCTCATCCTAAATTACTGGCTACTTAAGTACATTCCTATAAAAAGGAGCAAAATATAACAGGAAGGTAAGATAAATAACTATCTCTGAAACACATTAGGGCTTGATATATATTAACAGGTATCTTTTTTTAAAGATTTTATTTATTTATTTGGAGAGAGACAGACAGAGGTGAGCGCATGCATGAGTGAAGAGCAGAGGCAGAAGGAGAGGGAGAAGCAGACTCCCCACCGAGCAGGGAGCCCCATGTGGGGCTTGATGTGGGGCTCGATCCCAGGACCCTGAGAACATGACCTGAGCTGAAAGGCAGTCACTTAACTGAGCCACCCAGGCGCTCCCAGTATCAGTTTCTAACTTGCACTTTTAAATTATAAAAGAAAATTTGTCTGAGATGCTTTCTATCTCGTATTTGGAAAACTTAAAATAATTTTAGAATAGATTAGAATAGGTTTTTTTTTTTTTTCCTAGTTTGAGGAAACAGTTGAAAAAAGTAAATAGTAATTGCGTACCATGGCTCCTCCTCCACCAGCTGGGTGTCAGAAACAGTGCTCTGCTCTTTCTCTTGGCTTATAGAAACCAAGTTTCTGTACTTCTGCTGCTGGGTGGACACTAAGGGTGGACAGGAAGGGACAGAAGGAACAGAATGCACAGACTTCTCTTTCAGTTTCAGTCCTCTATCTTCCATCAGCCACGAATGGCCAAGCCTTGTTTCTACCCACTTGCAGCACCCTGAAATGAAGCTGTAAGAGACTGCCCCCCACCTCAGCATCACACACTGATAGCCTCTAGGTCATATTAGAGTGTTTTGATTTTTTCATTCGATGTGGGGTTTTTTGCTTATTTTAAAGTAAACTTTGTATTCAAGCACATGTTATACTTGAATACGGAATGATACACAAATCAGTGTACAGCTCGAGGAATTTCATAAAATGAATACCTTTGTGTAATTAGTATCCAATAACTAATTGCCAACATTAGCAAATTGGGAGATTACTACATAAACATCCAGATTCCTGATTTATTTCAGAAAAGTGGAAAATCTCACCATATTGAGCCCACATTACCACTAGCATCAGTTAGCTAAACTGAGAAGCAGCTGATCCTTTAAGTGGAACATATGCTCTCACTTTATACAGGCCCTACCACTCCCTATTACCCACTTGTGAAGGCAAGGGTTGGTTGCTATTGCCAAGTACAAATAGTGAAAATTAGCATGACTGAAAAGTTGTGATCGAAGCCCAACAAAACAACAAAAATATGAGAGGAATACAGATGTCAATGGAATGTTCTTAAAGTGACAAGCATTTTGATTGAGCTGAACAAAACAGTATCTAGAAAGAATGCAGATTCTAATTGGTCAGCAATTATATTAACTGGAACTGATCGTATCATGGGGAAAGTTGGCTGGGGCCTGAGCAGCGGTTACAAATTACAAGTGCTTGAGTCACTTGATGGACATTGGTTTACTGAAAGGTGTTAGGGCTAGGTTTTGCCAAATTCTTTTTTTTTTTAAGATTTTATTTATTTATTTGACAGAGAGAGCGAGAGAGCACAAGTAGGCTGAGCGGCAGGCAGAGGGAGAGGGAGAAGCAGGCTCCCCGCTGAGCACGGAGCCTGATGCGGGGCTTGATCCCAGGACCCAGGGATCATGACCTGAGGCGAAGGCAGATGCTTAACTGACTGAGCCACCCAGGCGCCCCGGTTTTGCCAGATTCTATAGCTATTCTCAGATTATGGTACGGGCCTTTGAGTCTGTAATTACATTTAGGCTGCTTCTGATCTATATTACTCCAGTACTCAGGTTGTTATAGTTGCAGTCAGAATCTCCCAATTGCTATCTATTTTCTGCAAATTAATTGGCTGTCTTCAATGGCTGATGAGCAGGATGCCTCTTATTGGTTGTATTATTATTATTTGACTACTCAGTAATAGCTCCTGCACTCCTCTCCATTTTTCTCCTTTCTAATGCTGATTTTTGTTCAGGTAATTTAATCTCTTTCACATGGCCATATGCTTTCCTAATCCAATTATGGTAATCTTTTTTAAAAAAATTTATTTAAATTCTAGTTAACATACGGTGCAATATTGGTTTCAGGAGTAGAATTTAGTGATTCGTCACTTATATACAACATCCAGTGCTCATCACAAGTGCCTTCCTTAATACCCATCACCCATCTAGCCCATCCTCCATCCACCTCCCTCCATCAACTCGCAGTTTATTCTCTATTGTTAAAATTCTCTTATAGTTTGTTACCCTCTCTCTCTCTATCTCTCTCTCTTTTTTCTTTTTTTCCCCTTTCCTATACATTCATCTGTTTTGTTTCTTAAATTCCACATATGAGTGAAATCATATGGTATTTGTCTTTCTCTGACTGACTTACTTTGCTTAGCATAATATACTCTAGCTCCACCCACGTTGTTGCAAATGACAAGATTTCATTCGCAGTAGTGTTCCATCGTATATAAAAGAATGTGTATTCTGCTGCTTTAGGATGAAATGTTCTGAATATACCTGTTAAGTCCGTTCGGTCCAATGTGTCCTTCAAAGCCATGGTTTGCTTGTTGATTTTCTGCTTAGACGATCTGTCTATTGCTGTAAGTGGGGTTTTAGAGTTGCCTACTATTATTGTATTATTATCAACGAGTTTCTTTATGTTTGTTAATAATTGACTTCTATATTTTGGTGCTCCCAAGTTGGAGGCATAAATATTTTACAATTGTTAGATCTTCTTGATGGATAGACCCCTTAATTATGGTATGATGCCCTTTTTCATCTCTTGTTATAGTCTTTGTTTTAAAATCTAGGTGGTCTGATATAAGTATGGCTACTCTGGCTTTCTTTTGATGCCCGTTGGCATGATAGATGGTTCTCCATCCCCTCACTTTCCATCTGCAGGTGGGTTTAGGTCTAAAATGAGTCTCTTGTAGGCAGCATATAGATGGATCTTGTTTTTTTTATGTATTCTGATACCCTATGACTTTTGATTGGAGCATTTAGTCCATTTACATTTAGAGTGATTATTGAAAGATATGAAATTTGTGCCATTGTGTTACCTGTAAATATTCTCTGTTTCTTTTAGTCTTCATTGCTTTTGGTCTTTTTTTCCCCATTCA